ATATAAAGTTAACTGAAATTATATAAATTTAATTGAAATTATATAAAGTTAATTGAAATTATATAAAGTTAATTAAAATTATATCAAGTTAACTAAAATTATTTAAATTTGAACTGACTCGACTATATATTAATTGTAGATCAAATGATACTATTTTTAACTGATGGGAAACCAGAAGATGACGTTTCTGGTTATTCAGAAGAATCTGAAGAAAAAGAGATCGCTCGGAATGCGGACATTTTAAGAACAATTATTACCAGAAATAGAGGGATGAATAACAAGGTTATTCTCTTTACTTATGGATTGGGAACAGGTATTTATTTCAAATCCAAATTCACGCTGTGACAGGTTCCACACATAACTTGATTGTCTGTTTATATTAAAGAACTTATTTGTGACAACGCTTCTTCTATGATGTCCAATTGTTCTAATTCACACCAATAGCTTTTCTAAGATTATATTTTTACACGCTTATGTCATGCACATTTGTTTATTACATAGAAGTTGACATGGATCTACTTGAAGCAATGGCGTCCCAAAATGGGAGTGCGTATGGCGTCGATACTTCTGTGGATATCCAAGAAACGGTTGTTTGACATTTATTATTTCTTACATAATAGAATGTTCATGTAATATTTATACTAAAAAGTATTTATTTTTGTTTCACGGATCGTGTAAAGAACGCCAAGCTTTAATGATAATAGTAAACTTTAAATTATTTGATATGATATTCTTCCTAAGGTTGGCCAAGCAATATTGGTAGATAATCCTGAAAATCTCCGTAGTAAGATGGCATCCTATTATGACCATTATGCAAATCCGCAAATCGATGTTCCTACGTTTTCAGTTCCACACCAAGGAGCATCCGGAATTGGTTAGTCTTCATCACCTCTGCTGTCGACTTCGTCGAGCAGAGCTTATCTTATTAGTGATTGTTTGTCGTCGTTCGTCGGGTTCACCCCATTTGTTTACTTTTCCGACTTCTCCTGGAAAACTACTTGTCTGATTGCTTTGATACTTTGTGTATATGTACCTTAGGAAGACCTCTTTTAAATTTGTTCATTCTGTGTTGATATCTTTAATTCTCTTATTTTGAATATTTTGGGTAAACAATTATATTATAGATTTATTGTTAAAAACCGCAAGTCCGATTGCTTTAATATTATATTCAGAATTGTTCGTTTTGTGTTGATATCTTTATTGTGTATTTGAAATGTGCATTTCTAACAGTGGAACTATTTCAGAGGCTGTTTGTTTATTTGTTTGTATTATTGAAATATTCTGTATAGTCACACATACTTTTTTTTTAACATGTATGTTAGTTGGTTAATTGTGTTGAATGACGTAGCAATATTTTCCTTTTACAGGATTATTAACGGTTGTGTCTCTACCGGTTATCCATAACAATAATTTCGAAGGAATAGTGGGAATAGGGATTACACTAGAGGACCTCTTTTCCGACGTAACATATTTTCGTCAGGGTGAATTATCATATTCTTTCATTTTTGAAGTTAGTTCCAAATTTGTTGGTGAGTTCTATAAACAAATGGTCATTTTACATTCAGTGACATCCTGTGTGTACGTGTTGATAGTGCGTGCGTTTTATATGAGTCCAATGTTACACGTAGTAGCATAAAAGCATGTGTTAAATGTGTATTCAAATTAGTATGACCACTCTACTACAATTTCGTGTCCTCTATGTCGTGTCCTCTGTGGACAATGCCTACTTAGATGTAAATAGTGAAAGAACGACTGTTTTCACATTGCTTTCACCAATCTGTGCCATACTGACATTACAGAAGCGCGTCGTTCCTAGAAGACGCGAAAGGGATACTACGTCATACACCTTGATTGATCAAATTTGTTTAATAATGTAGGATAGGGTTCGTTATCTGTTAGAGAATTGTATGCCCAAATATTAATTCGAAGAGGGGGCTACCAACTCATTTTATCATTTTATTTATTTATTTATTTATACACATAAAAATTAAAACTTTTTTATAATAGGCTATACCGGATTGAATGTCAATATTTGAGCCATGATAGTGTAATCTTTAAGCATCCTGGCAAGCGTCATAAATATTCATTTTTCTGTTACAGGTCGAACTTTATTGCATCCGCTATTGCCGGCCCCTAACACTGTTGACGAGGACCCCGTATTTGTACACATCACGTCGTTAGAACGATCGAATGAGTTTAGAACACTCTTAAACCATGCAATAATTGACGGGTAAGTTAATTAATGAACCAGTATCATAATTTTACAATAACATGTAATACAGTGCCATTTACATTTATTTTCTTTCAAATTGTAGCGACAATTTTGCAGAAACAACGGCATTTGTTTCTAAACGACCAATAGCCCGGGGTGACTCTGCCACTGAGGGTGTCCGAGTCGTAGACGAACCGTCACAGTATTTCTGTAAAGCGGTATGTTTTACCTTATATGTATATGAATATGTAAGCAGTGTGTACGTCATTGACAAATCATAATCCAATATATTCATCAACTATCATGATATCAAAGATATCAAACCACAATGTTAGAAATAACATTTCTCATCCATATTTGTATTGCATTTTGTTATTTTATCTGCATTAAAACAGGTTGGAGATGGAATCCCTTATGTTATATGTGTGGTAATTGCTGACAGAGATAAACAAACTAAACTAGATGCACAAACACCCACCGGTAAGTCCAGTTGACATGCTGGGGAACATCTAATAAGCGATTGGTGGGGAACATCCAATAAGTGATTGCTGGGGAACATCCAATAAGTGATTGCTGGGGAAAATCCAATAAGTGATTGCTGGGGAACATCCAATAAGTGATTGCTGGGGAACATCCAATAAGCGATTGGTGGGGAACATTCAATAAGTGATTGCTGGGGAACATCCAATAAGTGATTGCTGGGGAACATCCAATAAGTGATTGCTGGGGAACATCCAATAAGAGATTGCTGGGGAACATCCAATAAGTGATTGCTGGGGAACATCCAATAAGTGATTGCTGGGGAACATCCAATAAGCGATTGGTGGGGAACATTCAATAAGTGATTGCTGGGGAACATCCAATAAGTGATTGCTGGGGAATATCCAATAAGTGATTGCTGGGGAACATCCAATAAGCGATTGGTGGGGAACATCCAATAAGAGATTGCTGGGGAACATCCAATAAGAGATTGCTGGGGAACATCCAATAAGTGATTGCTGGGGAACATCCAATAAGTGATTGCTGGGGAACATACAATAAGTGATTGCTGAGGAACATCTAATAAGCGATTGCTGGGGAACATCCAATAAGTGATTGCTGGGGAACATCCAATAAGTGATTGCTGGGGAACATCCAATAAGTGATTGCTGGGGAACATCCAATAAGTGATTGCTGGGGAACATCCAATAAGTGATTGCTGGGGAACATCCAATAAGTGATTGCTGGGGAACATCCAATAAGTGATAAACATGGTGAGGCTGAGTTAATATTATATGTAACAGACCCTACGATGGCATTTTGCGAGAAAGAAAAGTGGTAGCTGGCTTCTTAACCTGTCTTAAACACCGCAACATTAGGGTGTTTTGGCATATATGGAAAATTTTTAAAAAAGGTGCCATTACACATGATCGGAGAAATTACCGCCGATCAAAACTGGCGTATCTTGAGTTACTCATTCACCCAGTAACTATGGCTGCACTCATTCACACAGTAACTATGGCTGCACTCATTTACCCAATAACTATGGCTGCACTCATTCGCCCAGTAACTATGGCCGCACTCATTCGCCCAGTAACAGTGGCTGCACTCATTCACCCAGTAACTATGGCTACACTCATTCGCCCAGTAACTATGACTGCACTCATTTACCCAGTAACTGTGACTGCACTCATTCGCCCAGTAACTATGGCTGCACTCATTTACCCAGTAACTATGGCTCCACTCATTCACCCAGTAACTATGGCTCCACTCATTCGCCCAGTAACTGTGGCTCCACTCATTCACCCAGTAACTATGGCTGCAGTCATTCGCCCTGTAACTGTGGCTGCACTCATTCACCCAGTAACAGTGGCTGCACTCATTCACCCAGTAACTGTGGCTACACTCATTTACCCAGTAACTATGGCTCCACTCATTCACCCAGTAACTGTGGCTCCACTCATTCACCCAGTAAATGTGGTTGCACTCATTTACCCAGAAACTATAGCTGCACTCATTCACCCAGTAACTATGGCTGCACTCATTCGCCCAGTAACTGTGACTGCACTCATTCGCCCAGTAACTATGGCTACACTCATTCGCCCAGTAACTGTGACTGCACTCATTCGCCTAGTAACTGTGGCTGCACTCATTCGCCCAGTAACTATGGCTGCACTCATTCGCCCAGTAACTATGACTGCACTCATTTACCCAGTAACTGTGACTGCACTCATTCGCCCAGTAATTATGGCTGCACTTATTCGCCCAGTAACTATGGCTGCACTCATTCGCCCAGTAACTGTGGCTGCACTAATTCACACAGTAACTATGGCTACACTCATTTACCCAGTAACTATGACTCCACTCATTCAACCAGTAACTGTGGCTCCACTCATTCACCCAGTAACTATGGCTGCATTCATTCACCCAGTAAATGTGGTTGCACTCATTTACCCAGAAACTATAGCTGCACTCATTCACCCAGTAACTATGGCTGCACTCATTCACCCAGTAACTATGGCTGCACTCATTCGCCCAGTAACTATGGCTGCACTCATTCGCCCAGTAACTATGGCTGCACTCATTTACCCAGTAACTGTGACTGCACTCATTCGCCCAGTATCTATGGCTGCACTCATTCGCCCAGTAACTATGGCTGCACTCATTCGCCCAGTAACTATGGCTGCACTCATTCACCCAGTAACTATGGCTGCACTCATTCGCCCAGTAACTGTGACTGCACTCATTCGCCCAGTAACTATGGCTACACTCATTCGCCCAGTAACTGTGACTGCACTCATTCGCCTAGTAACTGTGGCTGCACTCATTCGCCCAGTAACTATGGCTGCACTCATTCGCCCAGTAACTATGGCTGCACTCATTCACCCAGTAACTGTGACTACAATCATTCACACAGTAACTGTATCTGCACTCATATCCATTGCATCGATTGCTGTAAAATGTAAATCAAATCACAGACATCTGATATAATAATATGAGTAAAATTCAAATACTAATGAAATCAATACATATACCATCCATTTGTAAATTGTTTCACAGGAAGCGATTTTATGTACCACAGAATTGACATCAGTCATCCTGACAGCGTGTGTAGAAACGGCAAAAGAAAAGCGACAACAGGTCGGTATTAAATTGCAATCCCTTCCACTCTGCCTGTCTGTCTGTCTGTCTGACTATCGGTCAGACATATGTGTGATAATTAAATAAATGTGTACAATGAGAAGGCTATCATGAATTCGACTTGGACATAAAAAGCACAAGTGTGAAACTCAGCCCTATAAAACAGTGAAAAACTATTTAAAGTTTTCTATCCAAGACGATCAGTTAAGGGTATAACAAAATTCGAACACGTTCGTCGTCTTTGGATTGAATGATTACTAGGGTATGAGAACAACTACCTCATTGGGCAAAGAACTTACAACACATCCCCGGGTATTTAAAACCCAAATCAGTACTTCAGAGGGCGTGATTTACGATATGGAAAAGTTATTGTTAACATTCGTGTGCTTATTTTTTACTATTCATACAGTGCCAGGAAAACAATTAGAGATGCTTCAACTGCCAAATTAGCATAAATTAACATATGATTCGTAACCATAGTTCAGTAGAATTGCGACTTCTCTGCAATTTTGACATACCAAGACCAATGCCATTTACTGTGCATTTTAATATACACCAATAGATCACTCTACTGTTAAGTTCAGCCCGAATGCATTTATTGAACCGAAAAAGTATGCTTCAGGGAAAGAGACTTCCGCCTTAGTTGAACACTATACTGAATATATGAATGACGTAACAGAAATTATTACATCAAATGTATTAAAGGTATGTGAAATATGGTTCAACGAATTCTTCAAATTCGCAACACATAATTGCGTATTACATGTTTTGAATCGAAGGAAACTGGCAATTCTATGTCATTATTGCAAAAGATTATAATATAGATACAGGACCACGCCTGCTTTACAACTTAATTTTACCGTCCTCCAAACAACACACTAAAACTTTCAGGTCAGCTGATGTTGGGTAATTATGGCCAGTAACACCATGGTCTGTCTCTCATTGAATGCAAGGCGGTCACTACTGTAAAGGGGTTAATTATTCACTGGGTTTTAATTTTGCTTATTTCGCTGACTGCAAAATGCGCTAAATTAAAACCCAGTGAATATGTAAAATTTAGCATAGAACACATTATCTAAATGATAAAACTGTGAATTTAAAACCCATTGAATATGCCTGAAATGGTAAATCAGCGAAATTTAAACCCAGTGAAAATTAGTCATTTTACAGTAA